AAAGGACAGAGGCAGAAAACTTCAGGCCTAAGCCAAAACTTGTCCAGAGGCAGACAACTCTGAACTTAAAGCTTCTCCCTGCACTGGCCAGGTCGTCCTAGGGAAGCCCAATGCTTCCTTGTGCTCATGTGACCAAGGAGAAGAGAAATTAGTCTTGGGAGAAAGGATGAACGAAAAGTAGGAAAAAGAGGAGAGGAAGTGGAGGGACCCTATCTCTGAAGCCCTTAGAATTACAGGTGGAACAGAGTCCTGTATGACCTCCCTAGCATCAGTGTTATCTATGTGTACACCCCCACTTCACGCATGCACCATGTCCCCAGCCACACGAAACCTCTCAGTTCTTGAACAGACTAAGCTTTATTTTTAGCAAATAATGGGGCCTCTTCCATGGAACACTGTTCCTCTCCCACTTTGCTTAATTTCTCCTCCCCTTTAGGCCTCAGCTTAGATGTCACTTTCTCTGGAAAGCCTTTCTGGATGCCCCAACCCGCAACGTGGGCTGCCATCCTCTGTGTTCCCACAGTACCATGAACTTCCTACCTCAGGCTTTACAGTGCACCAGGCATCGTGCTGGGTGCTCCATGCCATGCTTCATCCTAGCCTCCCTAGGAGGGCAATAGCATTGCCCTCAGATGAACGAGTGGAAACTAGACTTACACGGGTTAACTAACTTGCCCAGGAGGACTGCTCATAAGGAGTGCACTGCAAGTCGAACCCAGGCCTGCTTAAACCTACTTAAAGTCTGGGCTTCTCAACTTGCCACTGGACTGTGTCATAGAGTGTTCATGCTGGGAAGCCCTCTGTGGTCATCACATATAATCCCCACATTTTACTAAGGAGGAAGCCAAGGCCTAGAAAAGCTGGGTAACTTTCCCAAGATCACACTGCTAGCTGGTAGCTCATGTTATTTTACATCAGAATCACAGCAACAACCCTGGCCGCCTTCTTCATCTCAACTTCTGTTTTCCTACAAGATCCTTTTCCTCACCCTGGGGTCCCAAAGTGCCAGCTTCTGTGGAGCCAGCCTTGGATCACTATCCACAGAAGCTCTTCCCCAGCCAACCCAGCCACAGCCCATTATCTTCAATCTGGCCCTCCCACCTAGTAGGTCTCAGGGTCTCCCTCATCCCTGCAGTAGCTGGCCCAACAAGAAGAGTTGGAATAAGCCGCAAATAGTGAGGTCCACAAGGAGGAGGCATTCAGTGATGCTCTTACTGGGCTCTGTGGAAATGATCAAGGGATTCCTCTGAGGCCACTGGAAACCCCATAGGGGCTCTGAGAGTCATTGGAACTATCTTCCAGGCCACTCAAGCTTTGTTCAGTAGGTGACTAAAGGGGGACTTTTCCTTCTCATCAGGGCAATGAGTTATCCACCTCTTTCTATCCCTACCCTTATGCCCAGGGAATTCTTCCAATTAAGTCAAAATTTACCTGTTGGTATCTGAGCAATTTCTTCTTATTTGTACCCTTGATGGAGCTGGAGACCCAGAGGTACTCTCTACCTGTCATTCATATTCAGAGAATTGAGCCTCTTTCCCTGACACGTGTCCTCTCAGCTCCCTTTCCTTCTTGGGGCTCCTGTTTCCTGCATGAAGAGCAGCCTCTGACCCTCACTCAGAGAAGTCTAGGGAGCTCACCACCACTCTGGGAGGCAATCTTTCAACTTTTTACTTATTCCTTATTCACATTCCTCCCTTAAGAAGGAGGATGGGGTAGGGATGGCATGAGGATGCTGACTAGACACAGAACTAGATTCAGAGATGAGTGTCTCACTGTCCTCTGTCTCGTATAGTAACTAACTGCCCGAGCACAGCAGGGAAAGCTGAAGTTATACATTGGGAAGTTCTCTTTCTCCAGTAGGAAACATTTGGAGGCAAAAGAATCATGCCAGAGTATAAGGGCTGGGGGAGGCGTGTTCCTGCACAAAGGAAGACAGATGGATGAGGCAGCTTAAGGAGAATCCAGTAGCCAGAGGGGAAGCATTCTAGATGAGGGGAAGGGAGAAGGACAGAAGGGCCCTGAGGTTCTCCCATACAATTGTGACGTGAGGAAACATCATGGAGATTAGCACTCAATAATATTTGCTGATGACCAAACCAATGTCAGCTTACTTCTCTATCTAACAGAGTTTCTGCAACCATGACCCCATCCACCCTCCCAGGCCCCAGCACACCACTGTGCAGTCAGCCCTCAAGTCTCTGGGATCCCAATGGGCCTTCCTGTCTTCCCTTTTTAGGGCATCTGCTCCTGACTGCTAGAAGATGCTGTGGACCAGAATAGCAGGCGAGCCATAGATACAGCCTACAGATTCTCATGCAGACATAGGGTAACAACTGGGAAGGCCAATGCTAGGCAGCATGAAGGACTTATAATTGATAGAAATCCCCAACTCCAAACCCTAGCTAAGAAGGCTGTGGTGTTACTTTCCAGTGATCCAGAGTTCGTAGCAGAAGTGGGGCCGGTAGGAGGGTGGGCAGTGAAAGGAGGTAGGCTCACTCTGCCTAGGGGTAGTGCAAGGGTCAAGGTGACTTTCGGAGGTTCTTTCTAGACCCAGAAGCCCACTTAAGGCTCCTAGACCCGTTCTCACCACCCCTTCCCCTCACCATGCCCCCACTCCTTCCCAAAAAAGGTGGCTAAAAGAAAGCTCTGTTGGAATTGTAGATAGGGTTGGGGGTGGGGTCATCTAAGCAAAACCAAGAGACAAATAGTTGGGGGAAAAAACACAAAAAAGCTAGAGGCGAGAGACCTCCATTCTAGTCCCAGCCTTACCACCAGCTGCCTGGACACCATCATCTCACCTCTCAGAGCCTTTCTGGGAAAATGATAACTGTTCTGTCTGCCTCCCAGGGCCAGGAAGGGCTAGGAAATACCTATGTGCCCTGGGCAAAGGCAAAGACAGACACACTGGACCTGTGCCAGCGAGGCCAGGTGGGGCTTTCGTTATTCACATAGAGCTCAGTCCAGGGTACTAGACTCAGCTCTGGGGTAGAGGGCCTGCCCACCTAACTGTCTCCATGGTTGGAGCAGGAATGGGAGCCATGCTTAGAGTGCAGCAGAGGCTGTGTCCATGGTTAACGTATAAGCAGGTGCGGTCTGGGGCAGCAGGACATTTTCAGCCCCAGGGCCACATTCTTAAGGTCACAACAAGTGCAAACTTGTTATAACCTGTGTCAGAGCAGCAGAGGGCAGCCAGGGCATGGGGGGGGAGGGACATGGTGCTGAGATGCCTGCGGCCATGGAGGGGTGCAAAAGGGAAGGGGTGGGGTGGGGGGAGGGTGGGTGTGCAGGTGCATATGCCAGGGGGTGGTGGTGTGGACGTGCGGTCTGTGTGCTGGGCTCAGCGTGTTGTGTCTGGGCACATCCGTTTGGGTGTGTGTTGGGAGCCGTGTGTGGGGCCGCATAGATGAGTGTATGCCTGTGTGTCTCTGCATATATGAGCCTCGGGGAGTCCTGTGGTGGGAGGAAGAGAGGTGGCAGCCACAGGCCCAGGCTGGGCATATGGAACCAAGGAGTGGGCAGGCTCTGAGCGCCCCTTCCCCTTCTCAGGCCTCACAGAACCTGCATTCCAACTCCCCCACAGACTGCCCCTGCCCCTGTGAGCCTAGGGCCTCTCGCCTCTGTGTGCCCTCTGCAGCCTGCCCTGTCAAATGCCCATCTCCCCAGCCTGCCCAGAGAGTGGGGGGGTTGCCTCCTGCCCATCCCCCCTGGCAAAGGGCCCACTCCCCCGTGCTCTCTGGGCCCTCCGGACACTGGGGCAAAGGGGGGGTGGTGGGGGAGGCTCTGAAAGCAGGTGACTGTTTGGGGGAACTAGGGGACAGAGCCCCCATTGTGCCCGCCCCGGAGCCGCCTCAATGGAGCTCCCTGGCACAAAGGGGCTTTGACAATGGGCAGGACATTAGTATGCAGAGCCAGCCCCTCAGCCCTCTCCCTGTCCCACAGCCCAGGGGCGGGAGCTGGGGGACTGCTGGTAGAGGGTGAGGGGGGCCCAGAACTGAGACTGAGGCGATCTTGGCCCACAGGGGCTCCCCTGGGGGCACTGCCCAGGAGACAGGGGAGGAGACTAGACTAGGGCCTCCAAACCTGCCACTCGCCAGAAAGGACTTTCCAAATGGAAAAAGCCACAGGGACTGGTAGGAGTGGAGGGGGAGGGGCTGCGGGATGCCAGGCCCCTTGGCCCCAGGCTGGGCTCTAGAAAGAAGTGGGTGGGCAGTCTGAGTCCTCCCACGTTTTGCCTCAGTTTTACCATCTATGCAAAGGAATTGTGTGGGCAGGAGAAGAAAAACGAAGTAATACATAGCAAGTTCTCCAACCCCAGCAGAAAGGGCATGTGCTCAGGGTTTGGGCTCAGGTTTGGGATCTTTGGGGTTCTACTTACTTGGGGTGCCACCTTCTTTGAGATCTCCATCTGCTGTGGTTCTGGAGGCTGAAGAAGCTACTACAGGGGAAGCAGGGGTTAGGGACAAGAGTCGCCTCCCACCTGTGCTCTTCCAGGGAATTCAGCCTGAACTAATGAAGGTGGAGCTGGAAGCCCAGCTCAGGGGAATTTGGTTGAAGGACCAATGAGCCAGGACTAGCTCTTCCCAGTATGTGTCTATCTCCCCATCTGCCTCCTCCTGTTCCTTAGTCTGTGGGGAGAGGCTTCCCTTCTCCTGCCCAGGGAACCCCAGCAGTCACCCCTATCCTCATTAATGCCCTTAGCACCACCAACTGCCTTTTTCAAGGCACCATGTTGTGCCTTGTGGGGCCTCAGCACAAAGCGCAGGGCCAGAAGGTGCGATCTGAGGAGAGGCTCCTGGGCCTTGGGTGGTGGGACAGCTGAGAGGAGGGCAGTGAGCGGAACTGAGCACCTCATGAAAAGCAGGGTCGCCCAATCACAGACTTCCTACGAGCCCCAGGAAGAGAAGGCCGGGGGCACTTTGCAGAACTGCTCCCCACAAGGAAAGTCAAAACAATCTCTGGGCTTGAGAATGTCTTCCTGGCTTTCTTTCTCCTCTTTTCAGTTGCTGTCAGTGTCGGAAGTTCTCCCTGCTATCTGCCCTCAAGGCTTCCCACTGTACTGCCCTGGTCCTGGGCTCACCTGAGATTGCTGGGAAAAGAAAGGTAAGGTCTGCTTCCTTCCCCGTCTCAGGACCCTACTCCTCCACTCTCCACAAAAAAATTCTGGCGGGGAGAGCAGAGATAGAGCTAGACCTTAGAACTCCTGGGTTCAGGGCCCAGCAACCCTGTCCACCCTCTCTGGGAACTTGCACAAGTCACTTTCGCTCTCTGGGCTGAGCTCGTCTGTGTAGCATTGGATGGATCTCCTCTGCAGCTTCCTGTCTTCAGGACAATGCGCAGTGGATTCAGGGGCAAGACTCCGGAATGTAATGACATCTCACATCATTGAGCACTACACTGAGCCCTTTCCTATTAGGTCATTTAATTCTCAGCAACTCTAAAAGCGGGTGCTTTTTAAAGCCCCATTTTACAGATGAGAAAACTGAAGCACAGAGATATTAATAATTTGCCCAAGGCCACGTAGCTGGTGAGTAGTAGAACAGAGGTAGAACTTACATGATGAACCACTACCCCATAATACCTCCCTAGTGAGAACATTCAAAAGACCATGGCAGCTGAAGGAAATCAGCCAAGACATTCAAATTGGCCCAGGTTTTTGAAACTGTCTTCTGAGGTTCCTCTAGACTAGCAGTTCTCAAAGTATGCTCCCTGGACCCTTTCGGAGGGTTCCTGAGGATTCCTGAGACCCTTCTGGAGGCTCTACAAAGTCAAACCTGTCTTCATAATAATGCTAACAATACAGTATTTGTCCTTTTCACTTTCATTATTTCATAGTGTTCAGCAGAGTTTTCCAGAAGCTACATGACATATGATATTGCAACATACTAAATGCAGAAGCAGATGAGAAACCAACTGTCTTTGATTAAGCCAAACATTTAAAAAGATTTGTGAAAATATAAGACAATGTCACTCTTCTTATTAATTTTTTGTGTGTTTACTTTGGAAAATACAGCTGTCTTTCATTAAAAATACATCATTTTGTTAACATGCAATAGTTAATAATTATTTCATGTGTCCCAGCGTTCATTTCTAACATAGTACATATTCATAAATAGAACCCACACAAACCAAAGCTCTTTGGAGTTTTCAGTAATTTTTTAGAATGTAAAGTGGTCCTGAAGTCAAAAAGTTTAAGAACCAGTGCTCTAGACTCTAACACACTCACCCTCCCCTCTTACCAGTTGCCCATTTCTTTTTTATCACAGGGTCAACCAGGAGGTTTAGACATGTGGAGAAGGAGTGTGCCTGGCTCTACCAGTTGGAACTGGGATCAGAGGTGGAGCTGAGGAGGCTGGTCCAGGGAGAATGCTACACTAAGAGGTCAGACCTATACCCCACTTGGGAGGTGACCCCACATGTCTCCCACCTTGCAAGCCCCTGCTCAGAGGCATGCTCAGGACAATGGGGCTGCCTCAGACTAGACTCTGAACCTTTATCCCCCTTTTTCACTCCAGACGCTGCTGCTGACAAGCCCAGCATCGGGCTGGAGTCAGAGCGCCCTGGCGAGGGGAGAAAGGCTCTCTGGGGCCTACAGACCTGCATTTATGGGGGCGGGGGTGGGTGGAGCAACAATGCTTAGAAGACTACAAATTGGGTGTTCTAAGGCTTGTAATCTTAGGGTGAAGTCTTGTCTACAGGATAGGGTCGTTGGTAGGAGAGGGGTTTCTCTTGAGGTCTCCTATAGAATTAGATAGTAGGATCCTATACACAACCTGCTGCAGGATGCTCACATCAACCTCCAAAGTCAGGCTCCTCCCCCAAGAATAAGCAATCAGAAATGTGTCCTACCTAGAGTCAAACTGGACAGTAGCTACTTTGTGTCTTAGAAGCCAGGCCCTTTGCTGGGTGCCAGAGGGTCCAGAGAGAAGAGATGCTTTTGCCAATCTGACAGAGACACAGACCCTACCCTAGAGGAAACCCCCGGCTAATGAGGGAGACAAGATGTCTCCTCCAACATCGCCATGCATGGGGAACCCTGGGCCGAGTCGCAGATGCAAGTGACAAGCAAGATGGCAGAGCAGAGAGGGAAACAGGAGAATAGAGGTCTGCGGGAGGGGTGAGACTTGGAATGGCCTTTGTGAGGGCCCAGAGTGCGGGGACGAGCATGGCTCAGAGACTGCCTGGGATATGCTCCCCAGGAACAGGGTCTGAAGAGTGCAGTTCACAAGATGTGGGGCTGGAGGGGATGGGAGAAAGACATAAAGTCTCTTGAAGACCATGATTGGGAAATTTTTATCCAATGCCAATGGATGTGTCTGGGTAGGGAAAAGACAAGATAAAACTGATGCTTCATAATGATAATTCCAGTGATAATTTCGTTGTAGGGTACAGGGAAGGAATCGAGGAGAGAGGGGGCTGGAGTCAGAGAGGTCATTAAGGAGGCTGCTGTGGGCATCCAGGCTGATGGGATGAACAGGCCAATCAGGAGACACAAGAAGAGAAGTTGTGGGGGCAAACCTGGGCTGGGAGAGGGAGAGGCAGGATGAAGAAGAAAAGAGTGATAGGCAGGGCCATGGGAGTAGGAATGAGATGTGGGAGTTGTCTTTGACCGACAGAAGTCTTTGACAGAAGTCTTTGACTGAAAGAGAAGTTGCTGAGAATGGGAAAAGAGACTATTTGGTGAAAGCTCAACAGCTCAGTTCTCATTTATTGAATCTGAAGACAGGACATCTGCTTGGCAAAATCTTGTGGAAAACAGGGGCTGTCGGTGTGGAGACCCCACCTCAAGCAAGGCCCAGCCTATTGGAATCAAGGGAGGAACTTCATCTGAAACTACTTGATACTTCTTCTACCTTTTCAAACTCCAGAAGGATGGGAAGAAAAAACCTAGGACAGAATCTCAAAACAAAACCAAACCCACAATGAAGGGCTGGGACAAAGCCTAGGAACCAGGAAAGATGACAGAGTAGAAAACGTTAGAGTGGTGGGAGAAACGTAATGGCCCACAACTCCACTTTTTACAGACTAAGGACCATTCCAAGCCCTTTATAATGGTCACTGTGCATCCTCACAGCAGTTATGAGCCCTATTGTGAGGATGAGACTTCTTTAGCTACTAAGTGGTAAACTAGGACTGAATCCCACAAAGTCGGACTCCAAGGCTGTGCTCTTAACCATAGTGCCTGCTGTCTCTCAGAGCGGAAAGTAACCCTGGAACAGCAAGAGAGAGGTGCAACAGTCACCCAGGAGAGGCCCCTGACAGTTGTCACAATAATCCCTGTGCTCTGAGCTCCATCACTCCTCTTGGAAGCTTTAAGGATGGGCTTCTTTGTTTGGGGATTTAGTTGGTGGTTTTTGTTTTGGTTTGGTTTGGTTTTTTGGTCCAGAAAGTGGTCTCTCTTTCCTTCCCAGTCTCCATTTCAAATGTCTTTGCTTTTCTGGGATCTGCTTCCTGAGATCTAACCTAAGTCCTTCCAGCTACAGCCACAATCCTTTCCCCAGGTCTTCTGCCGTCGGAAAAGTTGCACAATGGCCACGTATACACTCTTTCTGTGCTGCACCTTGTTGGAGGCTGGAGGTCTGATTCAGTCCTCTCTAGCTCCTGCTTCTCCAACCTCCTTCTCCATGCCACAAAGTTCTGTTCTTACTTCTCTCTCACATTCCAGAGCCAGTCCCTCCCTTCCCCCACTACCTCAAATCCAGGCTCCAAGCTGGCAGACACCCACGGGAGGGCATTTCCCACAATCCCTTTCTCTTTGCCCTTTCAAGGTTCTGATGGGGGAGGGGAGGAAGAGGGGCCACCAGATGCACTCTCTCCATAAAGAATGGTGGCAAACATGTAGGCTAAACTCAGAAGAGGGAAGAAAAGCATTGAACTCAGCCTGCCAGAGTCTGAGGTGACATGGCAAACTCTCATTCCCAGGAGCTGCCCAGCCAACCACCCATCATTGGGTGCTATAACACTTAGATTTTAAATCTCCCTTTCCTCTCCAATCTTTCTGTAGTTTCTTCTCAATGATGTGCCTTGGCTGATTCCTTCTCTGCCCCCTTCCAGGGCCCCACTGCTATCCTGGACAGTTTGGCCTCAGCCTGGACAGTAGCACTGACCAGTCAGGCAAGAGAAGAATCTAGGCCGAGGAAGGGAGGGAGAGTGGAGGTTTTTTTCTTCCGTCCTAAATAACCTGTGGCAGGAAAGTTTAGGGACTCCATTGCCCAGTGTCTCTTTTCCTCCTGACCAATGGCAGGAGGCTCGGCCTATCTTTCCATCTTGTGTGCAGAAACCAAGCATTTTACTAGGAGGCGCAGGAGTATCCTTTGAGGAAACGGATCTTTCTGCATGACCCACCCGCTAGAGCTTTAAATGCCCATCCCACCAATCATAGAATGACTCCAGAGGACTTCATCTGAGCCCACTGTGATCCAAGTGTCCCAGCCTCTCTGGTCCCCAGGAAGGTCAAGGGAAGGAAGGTCCCTGGGTCGTCTGCCAGTCACTTCCTTGTAGCTCACACCAACCAAGCTGGAGCTGTAAATGAGCTTATGCACAGTGATGCAGGTGGGAGGGAGCTAGAATGTGGTTCAATGGGGTACGTGGAGGAGGTGGGGGATACCAACGTGCAGATCACTAATCCCCTAACACAAACATATGCACCCATAGACTGGATGTGGGTCAGATGTTGGGGGAGACGGATTTTTTTTTCTTCAGGGTAAGGGATAGCAGAGGGGTTCTGCATTAGAGCCACAGAGGGACTGGAACCATAACCCTGCTACCCCTGCCACTCCCATTCCCCACCCACCCTCCATCAGTGGAGTCATTGCCATTTGATATCCGCTGAGACAACTTGGCTGCTCAGGCTCTGGGTGGGGGGTTGGGGGATGGCTCAGAAAACAGCAGCTCCTTTCAGGACCCAGGTTGGCAAGGGCTTTGGGAGGCTGGACTGGCCCAGATCACCCCCCAACACACTCTCCCTCCCTTCCTCCCTTGCCACCACCACCAAAGGACTTGGGGGAGGCAGCGGGGAAAGGAGTTGGCACTGCCTGGGCCGTGCCTATTGCCTCCGCAATCCAGCCCTGGACCCTCTCCCTGGCATGATGCCTTCCGTCCCCCTCCTCCCTCATTTCTTCCTCCCTGAAGAACCAGTTATGAGTCAGGATGCCTGGTTCCTTACAAACTTGGTCCCCCATACCCAGTCTACCCCCAGAGAAATGTACAAGCCCTACCACTTGGCACAGGATGGTACCCACCATCATGCCAGGAATATGTTCAAAAATCCTTGGAGATTAGGGAGAGAGTTTCAGGATGAAACTAAATTGAACTCAGTGGCGGCTGCTCACCCCTCCTGGGGCTGATTTCATGACAACCACTCCAGGCCCTCCTCAGCACCCTTAAACAAGGCCATCTCTCACACGGGGGCCCTAAATCTCCTGTCATTATCTCCCTCTCACCCAGACAGCCTAAAGCAATCCCAGTGGGGAGAGAAAAAATTCAAACACCACAGCAAGAGCAGACTGGCCAAACATCTTTAGTCAGAATTTGTATTGGTAAGCAACAGAAGCAGGCTTTAAGCACTGACCTATTTGGGGTCCAAATCTGCACCAGCTTCTTCACCATCTCCACTTCCCCATCTGCCTCACCCTGCCTGGGGCACTCACTGGAATTAAACCTCAAGACACCAGAACCCACCCCCACTTTTTCCCAGTGTTGTCCTTCTACCCATTCCTGGTAGAAGGATTCTTTTTTCTCCTCCCCCAAATCAGGAAGTTCCATCCTTCATGTCTTCCGTAACACAGGTGCCCCGGGTTAGTTCTGGTGAGAGGAGGGATGGAATGGGAAGGGGCATCTCCGTCTGGAGGGTGAGTTTATAGAACCCAATCTGCCCTTCTCACTCTAGCAGAAGTGGCCTTGCTCCTTTCCTTCTGGAAATCTCAGTCTGAAACAGCTGGGGTGAGGGTGAGGGGCAATGAGGAGGGATGTCTTAAAATGGGAACCACTCAGAATGGAAGGAAGAGATTGGGTGGGCAGGGGTCTGGAGCACACCAGGCTTTGGTGTCTCCCCAGTCTAAGCTGCCAGTATCTGTTTCTCTCCCTATGTGGGAACTAGCGATCATGGGTGTCACTATGTGATTGTCACTGTATGGGGAGTGGGGGAGGGGCCGGGGATGGGAGTAACCTGTCCATATGGGGAGGAGGGCGCACTGTCTGCTGTGCCTGTGTATGGGGTGCCAGGTGATGTGTGATTGTCACTGTATTAACTAGAGGAGCGGGGATGCAACTGGTGGTCTGCCCAGTGGGAGGGGGCATCGGGAAAGCCCCTTCCTTAGATGCAAGGGCTGAGGTGACCAGCCTGGCTAGTGTCCTCGTGGGGAGCCCTTCCCAGGAGGCTC